ATCTGTTAGATGAGTGTTAGAAAATTGATGAATCCATGAGCTCAAAATATTATAGCAGTTATTATTCAAATTAAAATTTAAATAATTGTAGAAAAAAATGCTGCTCCTGTTGATTCATTTTAACTTTTTTTTTACATTTCTCATTTTATTCTTCTCTGTTTTTTTCATTTTCTTTTACATTTTCATTTTTATTACTGCTGCTTCTTTTACAATTGTAAAATAAATCTCTGAACACTGAATAGTTCTAATAGAAATTCTGTCAATTAGATTGATAGAAGAGATGATTGTTTTTATAAATATATCATAACACTGTGAATTTGATATTTGTGAGAGTAAAACTTTTAATTTGAACTGTTCTGTCAATCAGAAAACTGTTCTTTTACAATTATAAGAGCAGATTGCAAACCTTCCCTGCTCTTATTACATCTGAAATGAAGGCTCTTTCAAAACTTAAATTGATTTCTCCAGCCACTACCGCGAAGCATGTGTTAGCTGTCATTATAACAGCATGAAGAGTCGTTGCTATTATCATGTAAGTAGATCTACAACTAAATCAAATTAGTCATTAATCATTAGAGTTAGAAATTAACATGGAATTAGACAACTGTGAGATATCAGTGGAAAATGAGAAGAAGAGAAAGAGGAAGAAGAAAGGGAAGAAAAAGAAGAAGAAGAAGAAAAAGAAGAAAAAAATAAAAATGAAAAAAAAATGAAAATGAAAAAAAAGAAAAAGATAAAAAAGAAGATGAAAAAAAAAAAAAAAAAATAAAAAGAAAGAAGAGAAAGAGTCTGTGATTGTAAAGATTGAAATCATCAACTGCAAATGTCAATGCTCTGCAGAAAATGAAGAAGAGCCAGGCTTTTTAATCAAACAAGTCAATAAAATCAAATAAAAGAAGTGTGAGAAGAGTATTGAGATTATAAATTTTAAAGATATAAAAATTGCTCTTTTGCCGATGGAGAATGTAATCTTAAAGATCAAAGTTAAAAATATCAGATGCCTTTTAAAGCAGCAGTTGATATGATGAAGAAGTAATTAATTATTGTTTTTTTTCTTTTTCTTCTTTCTTTCTTTCTTTCTTTCTTTTTTTCTTTCTTTTTTAAAAAATGAATACATTACAGAGCTGCTGAATTAAGATCTCTCATATTCATAGAGCTTCATAATGTAGAGGTAAGGTTGAAGATGATATTTATGAGCGTTATTTATGACTGCCTTTCTAATTGAAACTAGCTCTGTAATAATTTAGCACACTGTAGCTCGTGTGCTACAATGTATTTTAAATCTAATCAGTCACTTTACATGAAATATCAAGATTTATTAATCTCATTTCATTCATGTTTTAATAATTCTAATCACTTTACACTTTTATTCTGATTCTGATTTCATTTAAAATCATGCCAAAAAATGAACTAAGATCAAATCAAATCAAATCAAATGTGTAATTCATGGTCCCATCAGTCAGTTTACATTAAATCTATTTTCATTTAAAATTTTATATTCTAAGTGAGTTATCAAGTCAAATAAATGTCTATAGAATAGATATATATTTTTATATGTAATTTTCTATATATATTTTCATTATATAATATATAAGCTTGAAATCTAATTGTGTTGTTGAGATATTGTTGAAATATCCATCTGAACCACTCAAGAGAATTATGTCCCGGGTTTAACAGGAGATCAACATGGAACGTAGCATTCCTTGAACTCCATTATTTTATCCAGGAGGTAATCGAAATTCAGATTCCTCAAAGCATCACTTGGCCATCTACTGAGCACTCACTGAGCAGAGGGTTGGAGAACTGCCTTTTTCTGTGGAAGACTCTTCTAATCGTAGATGGCTGCCATACTGG